TGCTGCTGCCGCTGGACTCGCGTGATCGCGATAATTCACGGTCTAAGCTCGACGGCGGTGGCGGTGGTTTACATTTCCTCGAAATGGCAAAGGCATCGATTATATACGTACGTATGCCCCGCGAGATCGTGATAATCTTATTGGTTTATATTTATAGAAAATAAGCAGCCTGCGCGTAGTGTGTGGATTTTTCTCTAATCAACGTTCTGTCTCTCTCTCTCTCTCTCTCTGAGATTTTTCTTCGATCATTTTTTCCTATACACAAGCAAAGAGAAAAACGAGTGTATGGAAGTTGTGCGTGCACCGCGCGGCATATAGAAGATATCGCGTGCGATCTGTGGCACATAATACAGTCGCCTAGCGCCTAGCTGCACATCTAACGCTCGAAGAAGAGGCTATATAAGCTACTATATATAGCTCCGACTAATTGCGCGTCCGCATAATTATTATGTAAAAGTCGCGGGGCTACAGAGAGAAAGAGAGAGAAAGAGAGAGAGAGAGAGAGATAGAGTCACGGCGTGCGTGCGAACGCGCAGTGCTATATAACCGCAACACACACGCACATATTGGAATAGGCTCCTCATTGTCTCCGCTGCTATCTTACCACTGGGTTACGTGATTTTATTACACCCGTACATACATACATGCTGCTGCTGCTGCACATGCATATATACACACCTGCGTGTATATTGTACGTGTAGTACACAACTAAATGTATACACATGCTAAAATTGCGGAATACCGGATGCTCGGCTCTGTGTGCGTATCTAGGCTCTCTAGCCGCGGAGCGATTGCTAATACACAACGATACAATGTAACTTGTGGTACTTTCTCGACGCGCAGCCAGACGCACCAGAGAGGAGTCTTCGTCGTCGTCGCGTTTCTTTTTCTCAAATTTAAGCCGATGAGTAAAGCAAATTAGCTATATCTCTGCTCTGGGCAAGGAGCGCGCGCGAAAAAGAGAAAACATATAACGTACGCGCGTGAATCTTCGCGCCTTATATACCGATTACATTGCCGATGCTGTGTACTTGTGCGCAAAATGTGCCGATTTTCTATACACGATATTGACACTTTCCACGCGCTGCATACACACGTCGCGTATACGTATATACCCATAATTCACACGCTGCTGCTTCTTTCTTTTTTCGATTTATAAAAGATTATATATATATACACTGCCCGTCAATTACTTTTGCCATACCTGAGCGAAAAATGAGTAAACTTCAAAGTTTCGTAGCTCAGTCAAAAAAAGTCGGATTGACATTCTGAACCCGCCATTCGAAAGGTATTTACTAGCACTTTAAGGCTATATAAATTGTTATTAGGTTTTTTTGTTTATTCATCAATTTTTATTAACAATTAACGAATAAAAAATATTGCTTTTTTTTGCCTCCGCTATTTCTCTTGCCATTTTAGTTAGAAGGGTCGTAGAAACATTTTGAACCGATGGATTTGTAGGTTTTAACGAGACCTTTAAATCCTTTTTTTAAAAATTTTCCTACGAGCTTTTTTCACAAATATACAGCCCTTTTAGTGCAAAAACGACCCTTTTTTTCGTTTGCATGTACACCGCGTTCAAGGGGTCGTAGAAAAAAATTTTATATACAAAAAAGGTTGGTTTTTATGTGTACAATAAGAAGCAATAGTTACAATCCGTTTCTGAGAAAATTTTTTTTTTTCGATTTTTTTATGCATGTTAACTCACTTATTAACACACACAATCTGGTGAGTTAACATGCATAAAAAAATCGAAAAAAAAAAATTTTCTCAGAAACGGATTGTAACTATTGCTTCTTATTGTACACATAAAAACCAACCTTTTTTGTATATAAAATTTTTTTCTACGACCCCTTGAACGCGGTGTACATGCAAACGAAAAAAAGGGTCGTTTTTGCACTAAAAGGGCTGTATATTTGTGAAAAAAGCTCGTAGGAAAATTTTTAAAAAAAGGATTTAAAGGTCTCGTTAAAACCTACAAATCCATCGGTTCAAAATGTTTCTACGACCCTTCTAACTAAAATGGCAAGAGAAATAGCGGAGGCAAAAAAAAGCAATATTTTTTATTCGTTAATTGTTAATAAAAATTGATGAATAAACAAAAAAACCTAATAACAATTTATATAGCCTTAAAGTGCTAGTGAATACCTTTCGAATGGCGGGTTCAGAATGTCAATCCGACTTTTTTTGACTGAGCTACGAAACTTTGAAGTTTACTCATTTTTCGCTCAGGTATGGCAAAAGTAATTGACGGGCAGTGTATGCGTACACTCGCGGAGCTCGTCTCTGAGCTGTGTGTACGCGAGCTATACGAGAGATGTGTCGGTTTCGAATTGTTTGTCCCACATACCGCAGCTGAAAAGTTTCGGAATTAGAGAAAAACACAAACTCGCTGCAGCAGCAGCAGCGGATGCGGTAGCCGCGCGCATATTTCCCGCGTTCGTGCGTCTTATACATATCGAATACTATACTCCGGCGCAAAGGGAGAAATGAAAAAAAAAACACGCGTACACAGTACTCGGCACGAGTTACGAAACTACGCGAATACCTGAGCTATCTGTTCGTCTACCCCCTTTTCTCGATTACATTCCCCGGACTATACGTGTACAAGTGTAGTGTCGCTGTATATATCCTAGATATGATAAAACGCGCAACACACCGCTTGCGCTTGGAAATAGTAACGGATCGATTATACCGAATAGATATTCGCAATTTTTTCGATATTTTTCTGGACACTGTACCTATATAAGCCAGCAACAGCGACAGCAACGCTGCAGCAGGTCTTTTAAGAGCTGTTTATATTATGTGTGCCTCGGCCCAGCCTAACCTACCTAATGGATATATATGCTCTTGATCTTATGCTTCTTCTATTTCGCAAACAAGACTTGTGTCTGTGTGTGCCTCGTATATAGCACGATAAATGACCCTTACAGGCTTCGCGCTCTTTTGCCTCCAAGCTCCAAGAGAAGAGGCCTTTCAATTACGGGTTTTTCTTTTTCTTCAAAGACGACGACTCGGCGCACGTCGACGACGACGACGACGACGAGAGGAGATTCGAAAAGGCAGCAGCTAAGTCTTTTCAACGTCGCGGAAGTAACGTAAATGACCGACTCTCTGTGTATACGTATGTGTACACACATTTATACGTGCTCGCGCGAGAACCGAGCCATGCCAGCGAGCAAGCGAGGGAGAGAGAGAGAGGCTTTCATTCGGGAAATCTGATGAGGTTTTGATGTACAGTAGGCTAGTGTGTGAAACTCGAAGAGATGAGAGAGAGTAAGAGAGAAGAGACCCCGTGCTCGCGTGTATGTTTACGGCTCGGCGAGCGCACGCGGTGCGTTACATTCGCGTATAAGAGTAAGAGAGAAAGAGAGATAGATAATGGAGATGAGATCGAGTGGCGCACAATTTTTTTCGCAAACTCTTTCTTTGCCGCTCGCTGCTGCTGCTCATTTTGCACTTATCGTATGTACGTATACCTCGAGAATGTGTATGGCGAGCTTTGATATACGCGCGCGCGTGTGGCGCAGCATCCCCGCGCGTACGTATAACTTATATTCGCAGAGAAGATGATGGTCTGCGGTATGTACCGAGAGTACCATACAACCGAATTACGCGCACCGTATACGTACAGTGGTACTATACGTGCGTTTTCATTGCCTAGATGAGAAAGCGGAAAAAAAGGAACTAGGAGGGAAAAAAGGGACAACTGCGCGGGTGGCCGTTTATAATAATGCAATGCGCCGCTGCAGTGTACGCGCGAGGTTTTCCCGCGTGAGCGCGAGATTAATGACACTTATTTACAAAATAAATATTGCACGTGCCGCAGTGCTAGTGTCGGGTTCGTTTATATAATAATGATACTCCTGTGCGTTAAGCTGTGTGTATAGGATACGCGGATGAGACGCGCCAGAGCTATTATATACGAAAAAAGAAAAAAAAAAGAGAAAATTAAAACTTGGTTAAACGAATTTTCGTGCGTGAGAATGTATCGTATCTTTTTAACTCTTACTCTTGTTGCACGATTTTGTAGAAGGTATGTGACCTGATGTTTTGAGTTTTACCCGACTCGTCGAGAAGGTGATCCTATCAATAAATAATAATCGAAGCTTTGTTTTTTTTTTAATTTATTTATTTGAATTATTATATGAAAATATATTGCATAGTATACACCACACATTGCAAATGTGCTATTAGCCCTCACGCATTTCGATCCGCAGTGGCCACCAAGCAAATGTGATACAAATCTTCGTTCATCAGCTGATCGAGAATCATATCGCAGCAGAGAATCGGCAGTCGAAAATCCGTCAACTCCATGAAAGGATCCAGCGCCCACCTCTTGAAAAATCCTCTCGACATCGTCTCGCACACACGCACCAAACAAGACCTGCTGTAGCCTCGGAGAATAGGATACCATAGGTCCTTGCGCTGTGAAAACTTGTAGCAGTTCAAATGAGTGACGAGTTTTTTCGCCTCCTTGGGTCGCAACTGCATCAAATCGTAGAGCTCCATAATTTCATCAAAGTAATGAACGCGAGGTGAAACGATGTTAATGCAGTGCGTTTTACGGTCGGATTTTTCCGACTCCAAAAATCATTACATAGATCGTAAATTAATGTCTCTATAAATTTTTAATGTCTCAAGTTGAAAGGAAAAATCATCGTTATTAAGCTCCCGAGCGCGGGCCGCGTCGAGTACAGCCCAGCTCCTCGTAAAGTAAATAGAGCGACAAAAGCGCTGGGTAGCAGGCACAAAGCGCAGTTCACAAAGTAATTAGAAAATTTAGCGAATTGCTTTGTGCTGAGGTACTTCCCGCATTTTCGTATATTAATATAGAAAATCGAACTGTCCCGTAAACTGCGTCACGCCCCTAACACAATATACCCATATCCATACACGATATCTAACGCGAGTAGAGCAGTTAATGCGATTTCGCAATATCGAATATACATAATAAGTATATCGACTAACGCATTTTGGTTGTTGTTTCTCTGTTACAGATCCGATCGATACACACACGCCGCCGACTTACGAGCCAAAAATTGTTGTAAGTACATTTATAAAATCGACATTAGAAAAATAAAAATATCAATTTTCAATTGTAAAACACGCGATCAAATTGAGTATATGGTGCACGCGAGAGGCCCGCATACCGTAGTAATATATTCGAGCTGTATAGCGAAGGGATTGGAGGCTTGGCAATTATATTTTAGGATACCGGGCGCGAGTGCAGCGCGCGGCAGCCACAGCCTATATGGGCGAAATTAATGATTCAAGCGTATAACAAGACTCTCGGGCTCTCTCTCTCTCTCTCTCGATACGTACACGCTCGTACACATCGCTTACAATTAGAATTAGAGAATGTAATACGTGTACACACACACACTGCTAAACGCGTGGCCACCGCCGCTTATGTGCACACGCGGCTTTCGTATAAAATACACCAGTAACCGATATACTTATGAGCGCAATATAACATATCCGGGTATGCGTGTGTGTGTTTGTGTACGATTAAACGTTCATTAACCGCAAGTGCGGCTATTTTTCTCTAATTTTCTTTTCCCCTCTTCCTTTGTTCAAAAGCTTGAGACCAGTAAAAAAACTACGACGAGATCGTCGATGTTGGATCCTGTTGGGTACATCCGATTATCCTCGAAAACGAAATTTTTCACCCGCAGCTTTATAAAGTGTCCCGGTACATAACGGCCCCCCGTAATAAACATTTTCGTGAGCTAGGGCACTATACATACTCTCTTGATACATTTACAGGTGCACGCATGCGTGCGCGCGGATGACGCAGGCTCGGAGAAATTCGAGACGCGCTGCTGCATTCGTAATCGAGCCCCGCACTCGCGCGAATATACGTGACTCTAGGCAAAATTCACTAGTGACACACACAGCGCGAGATCGAGTTAAATGCAAACGAGAAACTTTCGAGCTTTTTATACGCCGCGATCCATATATATATTATTATTAGTGGGTAGGCAGGCACACCGGGCGTAAACATGCCGCATTAAAAACTCGTTAATTCCTACATACATAAATAAACCAGTGGGAGGCTAGTAAGTCAGGGAGAGAGAGCTCGTTGAACCGAATACGAAACGCAATGATTGTTTATTTTTTTTAATTTATTTATTTTTTTTTTTGCTGACCGATATCTTATCCCCCACAGGCCGGTTATCGCTTATCTACGTGACAATGAGTCGAATAAAACAATTGAAAAAAAAAAGTACAATTACGAGCCACGCAGTGTTTAGGATATACACGCGAATCAGTATCCGCGCGGCGCGCAGCAAGTGTAAACGTCCCCGTTGTCATCGCGCGCATATCGTCGCGGACAGGTCGTCCGCTGCTCAATAAAGGTACGTCTCTGGAGCGTCTGTTTACACGTCTGTACGCCGACACACACACACGCTCAAATATATATAATATCATTATAAGCTCGGCACTCGCGCGGGAAAGCCGCGAGAGAGAGAGCCAAGAAAGACGACGCGACGAAGAGAGGTCGACAAAAAAAGTCGTCGTCTTAGTGCAGCAGCACACTGTATTACAAGTACGCCGAGGCGGTGAAATCTTCTCTCTTTCTCTCGTCTCGCGAGCTCGAGCGACTCGAAAGTTTTCTCCTGCTTTTGTTATAAACTTCGCTGCTCGTGCGTTTATTATAATAACATCGCCGCCGCGCTGCGCATTTATACGTGTGTGCGTGCGTGTATAAGCGGGACGACGAAATCAAGTTCTCGTTCTCCGCGATTATAATTCAAAAATATACGCTGCTGCTGCTATACTGCTGCGCACTTTAAAGGCCGCTGTATACGTGCGCCGCGGTGTACTTTATATGCAGTCCAAGCTGCTGCTGCTGCTGCTCATGCTGCTGCTGCAGGTCAGGTGTCTATAATTAAAGCGGCCCGATCGGTATACATATACGTGTGCTTGGGAGTGTGCCGCTCAGTAGTAGTAGTAGTAGTAGTGATACTCTACTGTGCCGCTTGTGTTTATATGGTAAGGCACGACGCGATCGAATGGCTCGAAAGCACGCCAAACTCGTCGGCGTATAATAAATGTACGTATCGATCTCTCCTTTTCTCTCTCTCTCTCTCTATTTGTGCCTCTCTCGTTGTAACGTTATAAGAATGAATGCCGATAGCCGCTGCGCTATAGGCCTCTCTTTGTGTGCGTGCACGTGTGTCATATTGTACACGTGTGTGCGAGATGATGGACGCGAAAAAGTAGAGCAAAGGACATACTTGCATTATCTATTTTCGAGGTTGCAGCGCACATACAATTGTAAACAGCTAAGCACGCGCGCAATTTATTTTTAATCCAACGCGGCGTCTCTCGCAACATCATCGATCTAAAAGATGTCCGTTCAATGATGTGCGTCGCAAGCTCACAACGAGTTAAATAGTAAACGACATATTACAAAAGCTGCGCGGCATATAATATACGGCACATAAAAGTTAGCGACTACATGGGTTTTTCATTATTTTCGCTTTACGCTGTGGAAGACGTGGTCTATTGTTTCTCGACGCGTTAATGTGCTTTGTGCGTAACCATGCGGAGCAAAGACCCCCGCAATCTCGGAGACCCACGACACATCTGTTGCATTCGTCATGAAGAGATTTCTCGATTATTTATTTTTTCTTTCTCTTCGAAGAAACACATTCGTTCGCGCTTGGTGCGACAGTTGTTGGCTCGATATCAATGCCTCTTATATACTGCATTTCGAAAACAAAAGGTCCTTTATGTATGAACTCAGAGTTATACATAATCCGGTGTTTGCGATCGATTCGTCATTCATTGTGTATAATTTTCGATAAGATTATACATTTATTGAAGCGCGCCGCCGTAGACGTCGTGATTAATCGAGCATCTAGACTCGAGAGTTTAAATCACTTATGAAGGCGCATTTTAAATTCGGCCGCGCGCAAATAGCATACATCCGCTGGCGCTGCTATACGTGTGCGGAGTGTATAATATCACCTCGCCCACGCGTGAATTTTTCAGGAAACGGCGAAAAAAAAAAGATCGTTTCACTTTCACCTCGTCGTTATAATACGATACTCGTGCCGTGGCGCCAAGTGCTGCTGCTGCTGCTGGAAACGAACGAATTAAGAGAGAAACGAGAGAGAGAGAGAGATGATAAAAAAAAGCTCATGCACACGGGCAGAGAGAAATTCTGGATACTGTGTATTATTGAGAGATAGATTTTTGCGCCAGAAGCGTGAAATCGATTCCAACGAACTGAGTGAGCGGCCGCTACCGGGGCTTGAATTCTCCGTGTTAAAGTTGTAACAAAAAAAGAAAAAAAAATAGCCAAATAAAAAAAAATCCAGAAGCACCTCTGTGTAACAAACTGCTTTAGATCTGTACACGCTGATTTTTACCTATTTCGTGCTTATCGACATTTCTCTCTCGCTCTGTGTAACTTGTGTTCATATACACATTATATACTTATAAACATCTCGTATCCAAGCTTCAAAAGTGAAAAGCCCCGCGCGATGGATTTTATGATCGATGGCGTGACCTCCTCGCTGCATTGTAACGCCGCAGTGCGCCTCTGGGTATTTTTCGACTCTGTAGTAGTAAGGTACGATTTGCCTGCTGCTGCTGCCGTTGCTTTATCATTATCAATGAGCTTTTTTTCTGCTGTTTTCGTTGCGTTCGCTCTCCATCGTTCGCGCGCGGGCGCCGGTGAGAGTTTTCTCGTTCAGATTATTGGATTATAAGTAGGTATGCGGCATATATAACAACAGCGGCAGCAGCCTGCCCCCGCTCGCGAAGAGAGGTGTGTCCGAGATCGCGACGATCGACGCGCTCGCGCTGGCTACGAAAGAAAAAGTTCGAGCAACGAAAGTAGCAATTTTTCAAATCCCGATATAGCCGCCGCCGTAACAAGCCGCAATAAAATTGATTTTGTCGAGTAGTAGTTTCATGTGATTGCACGTTTATAAAGAGAGCTTTTATTTCGACTCGGCGGTAAACGCGTATACGTATAATTCGTATAAAAATAAAAACGACGACGACGACGTGGCACGCATTTACACACGCGCACACGCACGACGCTCTAGAAAATGACGACTTTTATTCTTCTGCGTGCGCACTGCCTGCACACAATGCACAATGAATTTCTCGATGTAAAAAAAGACATTGCAGCCGGTTTCGGTCACTATAAATATAAACGTGCCGCTGCCCGCGCGCGTGTATATATTTTCGTCGTGCATAAAAGGGTGCACCACCTAAGAGTCGTCGTTGTCGTCGGCGTCGTCATCTTTATTGTGCGTGCCCCGACTTCTGCCGTTTATATTGTACGCGTCGCATATAATACGAACGATGACTAAATCTCGCAATTCGAACCCAGAAGAGAGAGATTACGAGCGTGACCGATAATTTTCTTTTGTTTTGGTTTTTTGCTTCATTGTTTTATTCTTCTTTTTTTTCTTTCGCTCGAATGTACAGGTGCGCGTAATTCGTTCGATTGCGCGGCATTAAAGATTTATTTATATACGCCTTTCGAGAATTGCCAATCGAGCTTTATGAATCGATATTAATAGAGTAAACAAATTTCAGCGTGGTTTTATATAGTCCCTTGGAAAGCAATTACACGCGCTTCGGGCTGTCTCTCTCACTCGAAAAAAAAAAGAAGAGAAGAGAAGAGAAAAAAAATACACGCCAACAACCTACTCCCCACGGCAACGGTATAATATTTTCTCTCTCTCTCGCGTCTGTTCCACGATGATTCAATTGAGGCTCGTTATCGGGAACTTCCTTTTGTAGACGTAAAACTGGAAAATTACTCTTATAGCTGGGCTCTCTCTCTCTCTCTCTCTCTCTCTTCATCCACGACTCGCGGCTTTGAACTTGACGCGTTTTTTTGTTGTCATCGTCGTCGTCATAGTCGTCGTCGTTGTGCTTTGATCGAATAATTGCACGCAGCAGCTCCGGGGAGACGTACGTCGCTCGACGGCGCTCCGACACACTGATAACGAGGGTAATTGCCTCGGTGTACATTAATACACGCATGCAGCACACGCAGTTTATAACTCCGAA